GTGATCCATTAAAAATATCCACCCATGCCTCAGTCAGTTTCATATGTTCTGGTCATACAATCAGGTGGGCTGCCTCTATGAACTTGTATGTCAACTGCAAGTCCTCCATAGCTTGCTCTGCACACTTTGCTCTTGAGACATGGTTTCTCTTCCTAACTAAGTATAGCAGACAGAATATGTTCAGGTGTTTGTGGTCTCGTCTGACTTGCACACTGTGTTGACTGTAGTCTTTTTTTATGTATGTGGTAGTTGAGCCTGCAGTGTCCTGTTCTTAGAAGAAAAACGTGAAAAATGTCCGCCCAATCATGACTTAGTAAAAAAAATCCTCTGAGGGGTTTATGTATTAGCTGTCAGCCACTCAACAAAATATTATTCCTATTTTCCCAGTGCAGAGATGTTACTGAAGAACGCTGCTTTATGGGATGTCAGAAATGAACTCTAGCTGTTTGTGGTTTTTACTAGGCAATTTTCATGTTCCTGTCCTCTAAATGTGAAAAAAAAAAAACCACAGCGTTGTCGAAACCAATATGAAGCGGTTTGTAATGCAAATCACCTGAGAATGAATCGCCTGGTGTGTTGAAATTATAAAACTATGTTCATAACTTCGAAACAACAGATGCTGGCAGGTTTGCAGAGGTGTATCTATAAATGAACCAATAGCTGTCACATTACATAAATGTGTTATTATAATATGGCGATGAAAAACTTAGTAGCAACATAATGGATGCGATTCGTGGACTATGTCCCAGTCCTTAGGAAGAAAATAGGGACCAATAGGCTGAGATGTTCAAGACACATTCTCAGAATACTATGGACCAAAGAAGAAGTACTGACATTCTAAAAGATCTGTACATCAGGGGAGATCAGCTAGTTAACAGCATCTTGTCCCAGAAGCTGAAATAATTTGGCAAATATTAAGTGCCTTGGCAGACTAGTAAAAATTGGCAGAAGCCATGGTACCAGGAAGGAGAAGCGGTGGCCAACAAACATGGAGATGGGCACAGGATATAAGTGACTCCCTGGATATGAAAGTGCATGAGGCGGGAGAGCAGACCAGAGACTGAGTTTCTTTCAGGCAGTTCACGACGAAAGCAATGCTTTGCAAAGATAATGATGATGATAAACTATTTAATGATTATTTCTACTGCTCAAACTATAGCGTAGTTAATTAGTAAATTATTTGTGTGCATGTGTGTGAGGAGTGATTTATGGAGGAAAGGATCACTTTCACTGCACTAGTATCCTCATAAATTCTCCAGTCACACCAAACTTATTGAGGCATGTGTGTGTGCAATGGAGAAAACATCCTGGGACACAGATTCCAATGCTCAGGAAGGCTCGTATCTAACATATGTAAAATAAACATTTTCAGCCTGTCCTTGCATGACAACTCTTTGGACAGGCGGTCTTCACACCTCAGCCCAGGAAAATCCACCCTTCTTCTTTCCCTCCACCAGCCATGGCACTACAATTGTTTTCAAAATTAGTACTGAGACAGGTCCTATCTATGAGTTCTGTCCTTACTGCCAGCATTACCCAGTTTTTAGGGTAATGTAGGACTTAGAGGTCATGAATCTAAGGATTCAGGGCTACACGACTAACTAGTGCTGTCACCATTAACTGTGCTGTTTAGGAATTTATTTTAGCCCCAGAAAAAAAAAAAAAGAAAACAATTCCATCATCCTTCTGAGTAATCAAACCCATGTGTCTCGAATTAGAACCCAGCGTTCTTAACTGCTCATCATCTAGATGCTCCTCAATATCTAATAGTCCATTAAAAATCGAACAAAGACTTTATGGACCTACAGTATTAATATCAGTTTCAATCCCCTAGTCAGCTTTGGATATTTGTTTTGGTGGGGGGGGGGGGGGGGGGGGGGGGGGGGGCTAACAGCTAACAGTGTTAATTCTCTACCCAGCTACTTCATAATTTTATTTATTAGAATGACTCATACTCTGAACCAAACTTCTGGCACATATCTGATGTCTGAATCACAACTCAGCATTCTCTAGAAATATACTGATTGTATATGTTCAAATAGTCAGTCTCATCCAACAAAATCACACACACACAAATACAACAAACACATAACTACTTACACGCTTAAAAATACTTATTCAAGATGAAGACTGTTTATAATTAAAGTGCGAGCAAAAAAGGAACAAGTACTGGTCTGAAGACATACGAGAACCTAATGATAATGCATTATTATAATCATGAGTGCAGACATCTCTATAGAATTCAGTCACTGGTTGTTCATGATCAACAATATTTAAAATATTCTTCCATCTAAGATTATCCTCCCTGTGTGGATTCAATTACCTAGTTTAGGACTGAAGTACTTACAGAAAATGTCATTGCTCTCTTTCTGGTGTTCAATGAAAATGTAACTGTGTGCTGAAATGTAACTTTTTGTTGTTGTTTTGTTACTGGAAGCATTATAACTGCTACTGCTCCCAAAGACAGAGCAATTATAATGGTCAGGAGGTAGACAACACTACAACTAAACACAGTGTCTAAATCACAGAGAAAACACACAAGTACATATAATATACAAGAATCAATTAAATGAATTTTCAAAATTCATGTTGTTACGAATGGGGACATGTTAACAATGAAATTAAAACAGTGCACACGCAGTAATATTCAGTTATGGGTGAGGACAGCATGTTATATTTGCAGGATGTGGAGGATCAACCCCAGATTTTTTTTTTGGGCTGTCCGTAATTTCAATGAGCTATGTTCACATTAAAATCCACTTTGAAAATCTTAATTGCTTAACCAAGCAGGATTTGTCATGAAGGACATGTCCAACTTCCCATGTGGGTTCTGAGGCAAAATTCTGGGAACAAAAGAATAGACGCACTGCTTCCCAACAAGCATGTCATAAAAGACAATTAATCAGCAGTTTGCTGAAGCCTAGATGTAAACTACAACGCAATGCTCAGCATTTTAAACATGAAAACATAAGAAGAAGATATGCCTAATTATTGCTGAACTGAACAAACTAATCATTACATTAATTTACAATACAGGCTTTCAAACAAAATCCACTACCATATGCATAAAATAAAGATTGGTACGGTCCCTATAGTATGCATGTCAAATGGGGCCATCAACATTTGAGTTCATGTTGCAAGCCTGCCCTTTATATTGACACCCACAAAGAGATACCTGGCCTCAAGAACAAGGTTTGGGTCAACCAGGTGAGCTGATGCCATCACCTTAAAAGTATTTAGTCCTTTCCCTAATTTTAAAACCATCTTGTCCAGGTGGTATTTGAAAGGTAATTCTAGATATTTTAGTAAATTATCTCTTGTTATATTACTGCTTTACTGTGATGTCCAACTACACATCTCTAACAATTCTATTATTTAAATAATACCAGAATACAGTTGCTCTCATCTGGGATGTATTTTTCAAGGTAATCCTGTAATTTGCCTGCCAGTGTCTGTTCAAGAATTTTACTAAATGTGTTCTGTAAGATAATAGGGTACTTAGCTCACCATAAGCCAGCTCATTACCCCGGATAGAAAATTCATGATAAGCTCATGATCTGAGCCTTATCAAGAAAGCCACTCTACATGTAGTGCTGAAAAGTACCTTTTTGTGTTACCGGAGGCACCATAACTGCTACTGCTTTTGAAAAAAAAAAACGCACCCATAAGGGTGGGGGTGGGGCTGGGGCTAGGTTCCATCAATAACACGTGAACCAATATGAATGGAAACAAGAGGCTGTCAACCAATAACAACATGAATCTAGACCATTCAGACTTTTAACTCTTGATATTGCCCGGTTTTTGTGCAGCTCGTCAGCAGACAGTGTAATCGTGTCACAGCCCATACCAGGATTCTACTTCCAATGAGTGGGTACTTTAGAAAAGACACTTCTCATGGCACTAGTGGTGCAAGTGACACACCACAGAGGAGCCTAGGTCCTCAACACAAAATATTTCCAGATGCAGCAGTGTACACCGTGCTGCCAATCTCCACTCTGTTCCCCCCCCCCCTCCCAAATGCTAGGCCTTTACTTTAAATCCTTCAGCACCAATCACCTGATTATGCATTTGCTGATAAAAACTTATATCAGGGCTATTGAACTAGATTTACTAAGGGGCCTAAATTGTGAAAATATGGATTGTAACGGACAATATCTGTGAGCCGCTTGATTGTCGCCAGCGGAATAGCCCTGCCTAACCTTATTTGCTTTTCTTAACTTATTATGTCCTGCTGAATTGTTACATAATATATTAGATCCCTTTTGTTACTGTAACTCTTTCTGTCAAACTGAATTACAACGTATACATTTATTATTAAAAAAAAATTAAACTGCTTCACAGAGAACGAGTAAAATACAAACTGTCTGGGGACTGAAAAGTTAAGTGTGAGTATGGATAATTATTAACATTATAAAACATACTGAGTTGAAGTAACAAATATAATAGACTGGGTTCATATAACAACAAAGTGAGGCAAAAGAAGTTCCGAGAATATATCACAAATGAAGTAGGCCATAAAACATTTATTGATTTAGTGGTGTTGCTCAATAAAGAATGAGGTGCTAACCAGCCTTAATCTCCATTTTCATATTAGAGATTATTTCATACTCTTCACTCTGCTAAGTAATGTCCACAACTTCCATACAAGTTTAGAAGGTTCCACAAATCCACCCATACATGAAAGTATGTGATTTCTGCTGCAAAGAATCTTGTATGATGCATCAGTTTGTCTCCATCCACGTCATACTACAATGCTATGGTTGATTACCTGCAAATGAATGCTTCTAAAAATATGAAGACAAATGAGGTTTCTTAAAACTGAAAATTAAAATAGAAACAACGGGATAGGTCACAATAAATGGTCTGCAAGATATACATTTGAAAACCATGCTTTTAAGAACCCCATGAAATGAATTTATTTAATGAACAAAAAAAGACTTTTATCACACAGCCCACGTGTTTATCAGACACTACAGCAGCATGTTCTTTGCCATACTTTATCACTCTGCATACTTGGCTGTCCACTCTTTCGCTAGTCTGTTGTATTCTGAGCGGTTGGTCTTAAATGTTCGAGCAATTTCCGGTACCAAAGGATCATCTGGATTAGGATCTGTTAGCAGGGAACAGATGGACAGGAGAACTGCGGACAGAACAAAATCATATGTTTATATACATGTCATGCGTAAGCCTAAGTACTAGCTATGGAATCTAAATACTCAGACTAGAGACTGTTTCATACACCACCCAAAGAATTGGTAAATACATTCCCATGTGGTTTCTGGGACTCCATTTTGGGGGGAAAAAAAAGAAAAAGATCCACTGCAACCCCCCCCCCCCACAAAGCATGTCACAGAAGACGGTTAATAGTGGGTTTTTTCTTCAAAGTCAAGTGCATCTGCATGAGGGGTTAGGGACCAACAGTCTGCACACAATTAAGCCAGATCTGTAGAAATAAATATTTCAAAAAGAAAATGATATGCACACAAAACTTAAGCTCTGGAATAAGACTACAGTCCAGAAGTGGATGAACAACCAGAACTCTCTGCCGGAGTTTACAGCCGGGGAACACCAAGAAGAAGATATGTAAATACACGTAAAGATAGTAGACAAACATAACAATAAAGAGAAAGATGCAACAGAAAGACAAAAGATAACATTGCTCAACTCTACCAGGCCGCTGTTCCGTGAGTGTCCTAATCTGCGGCTAAACTGCTGTCTCTTTTCGGTACTCTGAGTAATATGTGAAAAAAAAAATGTGCCACAAACTAAAAATAACCAACCAATTGTGATCAAACCTCATGGTTAGTCATTGCAAATGGCTGCCACCATGTGTTTGGATTGACTTTGTATGGTTTAATGTGAAAAAATTCGGAAAATCCACAATAAAGCGGCTGAAGAACCAATCACTTCAACAGGAAAGTGAAGTAGCACTAGGCTTTTCACAGTCGAACAGGTGATCGTTAGGTTGGTCGATTCAGTCTCTGAGAAGTCAGAATTTCAACAATACGTTTCCAGTTCAAATGGCACAGACTATGAGAGCTCGAGTGATGAGGAGATTCTTGAACCTTATAGAACTAGAGCTAGATCGATAGTTGTGTGTGTGTGTGTGTGTGTGTGGGGGGGGGGGGGGGGGGGTCCCTAAAACGGCTGATGGGGAAGATCTAGGTGGTGATGAGGGCTGGACAAGGAATGCTGGGGTTGGTTCTGCAACATACTGTAAAGGATACGCAATTAACTTTTTACGTGCATTATATGTGCCTATAAAGTTATCTATAAGATAGTTCTGTCAAAGAAAAATATTGCTCAGTGTGAGAACTCTACCCTGAGAGGGGCAGTTATTTACTTAAGCTCTTTGTTTTAGGAATTTCTCCCAGATTATGACTCTATAACTTTTTTTCTTCAGCACTCAGCCTTAAAAGGATGGTTAGCCCACTGTGTTGTGATTTTTAGCTAGGCTGCGATATCAGCACTTTTCGACCCAGCAAATTTGATTTCAAGAAAACCCCTAGTCACCTTTCACAATATGATTGTTTAGTGGGCAGCATGTCTACCCAGGACCCAGAACCTAAAAGGCAAATGATGTAACAAAGCAAACAATTTACCAATAAAAGTGCACATGAAGAACAAGGTACAAATGAGGTTTCTATAATTACATCCCTTAGATGAATCTCTCTTTTGTGTTAACACAAATAAATACAAATAAATTGTGCACTTTTCTTTCAGATTAAAAATTAGAAAGACAACAAGAAAAGAACCCTAAGCACCCCTCAAAACTTCACAATGAGTAATGCAGATTAATGTTTACAGTGTCTCACCTTTTGATATAGTAAGGGCAGGAGACCACTGACTTCGAAGGATATCTAAACATATGCTGCCATTACTGTTGATATTTGGATGATAAATTTTTGTTGAGAAAGCAACCTGTGAATAAGGTTAAAAAAATGTTTTTGTAAAAACTAATTGTAACAATAAAATTATTCTATTATCAATGGCTTGGAAAAATAACTTAAAGGCCGTTTCAAATTAACACTGTTTAAATATGAGTCATGACAAAATGATTGTTACTTTTCTTGTGGGGAAAATACTATAAATGTGCACAGGTACTGCGCAACAATTGTCATTTATTCCTTGCTGTATATCTTGAAAACACTATCTCATCAATTCAACTGTCCCAAGAACACTTTTCCTTTTAATAAAGTACTAACATTCATCCCTGGCTCCATGCTACATATGTAACAGCACAACTCGGACTAGCTAAACAAAACAGTTTATGCTGACCAGTCAGCGCTACAATTTTGCCAGATCATAAATGAATGTACCAGTGTGGATGACATGCTTTGCAGCATGAATGGCGTATTTGTTTGGGCCATAATAAAATCATTTCCATTAATTAACCATCGGACTGTGTAAATATCAACTTTCTAAGTGGACTTAGGGAAAGAAAGAATAATCTTTGTGAGTGAGACAGTACGAAGCCATTTCAGTACAGCAATGATACCCTTTTCATTCTCATCTTGTTATTTGATACCTTCTATTCCACCCAATAATATCTCCTACCTTCAATACCAGTTAAGTAGTTTTGTCAAATTCTATCATCAATCCCAGATATACATCTTAATTCAAGGTCTGTCATGTAAGTACCCTATTACATTACAGAACACATTTAGTACAATTCTTGAAAAGACACTGGCAGGCAAATTACAGGATTACCTTGAAAAATAAAGCCCAGATAAGAGCAACTGTATTGTGGTCGGACATAACAATAAAGCAGTAATATAACAAGATATAATTCACTAAAATATCTAGGAATTACCTTTGATAGGAGTCTGTCTTTCAAATACCACCTGGACAAGATGGTTTTAAAATTAGGGAAAGGGCTAAATACTTTTATGGTGATGGCATCAGCTCCCCTGGAAGAGAAAATGCTATAAACACTCTACCAGCAAGTGATTTTGGTAATGGAGTATGGTTTCCGACTGCTAACATTATCTCATACCTAAATAGAGAAGCTGGAATGCATATAAAATGAAGCCTTGCAAGTCCTTTTGGGATGTATATGAGACATGCCAATTGTGCGCATGTGGTAAACGCCTACATTGCCACTCGTATATGAAAGATTTTAAAGGTGAAAATGTACTTTAAAGTCACAACGGACAGGAAACACCTCCTACTTGGGGCTTTAGGAGATAGCAAAGGCTGAAAAGAGGTGGCTCTTGGATGGCAGAGGTAGAAGTCATGACCAGAACCATTTGTGCTACTGACAAGATAGCGCATGGTGAAGAATGGGTTGCAGTGCCGCCCAGTGCTTACAGAGAGTAATAGTTACCTTGGACAGAGGGTGCTGGGTTAGGATAGCCGGTGTAACAGTCAGCAGTGCAAGAGGTGATCAATTACAATTCATGCCCAGGTGAATCATAATATATTCAGATGGGTCTGTAGTGACAGGTAAGAAAAGCGGGTGGGGTTTTATTGATAAGGTAAATGGCCACTGCTTAAAAACAGAAAGCCTGGCATACAATGTCAGTAGATCCAGTAGGAGAATAGAAGTGGAGGCAGCAACAGTAGCTTTCCGATGGCTTGAGAGCAGCACAGCCATACATGTTGTAACAGACTCAAGGTGCATGCTTCAGAAAAAACTGGTATCCTGCAGGCACAGTGGCTTGCAACACTTGAAAAGACCCAGATCAAGAGCATATCATGCATTTTATATCCAGGTGTGCGAGGTGATGAGGAGGCTGATAGATTAGCTGCTGCAGCTTCTCTGGGTGGTGAGCTGCTATAAAAAACAGATGTTGCGAAAGGGCTGCATAGATAGGGAATCCGGGGATATGTTCTGGAAGAAAGATTCAGCACTGAAGAGGACACTTTTAATTTCAACTTGTACTATTAGCATGTTAACTCTTTGCTGGCTACTGAAGAAGGGGACGGAGCACGCGTGGGAAAGTCCCAAGTGCAGTGGCATCAATTCTTGATTCATTTATTCATACAAGTACCCATTCTTTGCACTTATATAATTTTGAATTTAAAAAAAAAACATTTATTTGCAAAACAGTGTCACTAAACATACCTTAGGTGGCTTGAATGGATAATCTGTTGGAAAAGTTATAGTGAGAAAGAAAACACCGCCTTGGTAAGGACTGTCAGCCTAAAAAGTAAACCAAAAAAAAAAAGAATTTTAGAAAAGTGAACATATACATTTTGAATAATTATCAACAAACAGAACTGTTGAAAAGTGAGAACGAGACAGTATAGAAATGCAGAGGTTAAAACAGACAGGATAGGGCTTTACAACTTACAACTTTACACAGGGACCACAATGTTAAAACAAAAAACATTTGATATTTGGAAGTTGAATGCTAAATAAAAATTATTTGAATACTGTGGATTGAGGAGATTAAATAAACAAACCAAAAAAATGCTTATATTCTACAAGGTTAAAGAAAAATGATACACAAACAGGCATGTTGCAGAAAGTTTGTCTATATTAAATGACACCGATGTTTACAAAAAACCAGTAACGTAAAGCTTAGCTCTTGCAACAAGAGGAAGACGTAGACCATCATGAAGTTGGACATTACAGCAAGCGTGCTATCCATGGTTTCACAGCAACTCATATATAACTATATTGTAATCAATCAGCAGGTTCTTCACAGAACATCACGTTCTTCATGGCACACGTAACAGTCTCTTTTTCTCTAGCCAATTCTTCAGCCCTTTATTGCTTTCATAGACAATGCACCCCCCAAAATGCTGTAGCCATCTTTGCAGAGGTCTGTCTTTACCTCCTGAAACACTATTCTCCACCAACATGACGAACATGGCCAATATAGCTTAACCTTTTGGACAGGATGCTGTTTATTAACTAATTCTGGATGTTCAGATCAGGTAATGTCTGGTTTTTTTTTCTTGGTCCATGGTATTCTTACCCCAAAAAAAAAAAAAAAAACAAATTTTTTTTTTAAATACTACAGCATTTCAGTTCAAATTCTCCCCCCCCCCCCCATAGCCAAGTTGGAGTCTATGACTCACATTAATAGTTGCCATGGGAAAGATACACAATCTCAACATCGTGCCACACCATAGGTTCTTCATACTGTTTAGTCACTGCATTACAAAAAAACAGGAGCTGCGTTAGTGCAGTCGATAAGAAGCTCGCTTTCAAATCCAGCTGCGACTCGCTGCAGCCGACGGTCGGTGTTTGAAACTGGGCGGTTCCCGGGGTTCACCCAGCCTCTAGGAAATGGGTACCAGAGTTGGCACTCTGTTGTAAATGGAGGAACGTCGCTGTAGCTACAGAGTTATGTGCGAACGGTGACACAGGCAGACAATTCTTATCAGCTGTCCGTACTGGTGGCAGAGCACTTATGGTTTATAACCGTGTGCAAAGACACTGGTTCACATCTCACGACTTTACCTTTACCTTTACAAAAACAAGTATTTCTTACTGCTTTTGTGCAATCACCACTGCAGCCCAAAAAGTAAAAAAAAATCTGTGTCATTTTGACCTCTTTGTTATAGATTTTACTCTGTGTGCTGCATTGCTGGATATTTCTTCTTCTTCAAATTCAGAAAAAGATTTCTTCATTGTACTTTCTGATGGCCAGAATTAGTTCTTTTAAGCCCTGTACACTGTTGGAAAGGAGAGCTATGTCGTCTGAGATCTGTGATAGATTTGCCTCTAAGTGTGAGAGATATAATAAGATGTCACAGGCCCACATTATCAACTGAATTTCTCATTTCCAGAATATAGGTTTAAAAAGAGGGAGAGAAAATGCAGTCCTGTCTCACTCCCCTCTGCACCTCAAACCAGTCTGATGTTTCACCAATTACTGTTGCCTGTTGTTCATGGTATGTAGTAATATAGAACTATACAGCTAAGAAAATTCTTCTTGCCTTCTGTATTTTTATATCTTTATCATTGCCTGCATTATTGCCTTAATAGGTGTATCATTACATCTTAAAGAGACACACACACAAAAAATGTTTTACTACTAGCCAGACAAACTTCATTTTCCTGTCGAATTATTAACAATAGACAAGACATCGAGAGGCATACAATGACTCCATCCACCATGCTTGAGGACCTTGCTTTTGCAGATGATATAGCACTCCTATTACATAAACATTTACAAGAGAAAAGTACTACACAGCACAGCAGAAATGGTGGGACTAAGAATAAATAGGAAGAAAACTAAGATCATAACAAACTGTCCAAACCAGTACTACACAGCACAGCAGAAATGGTGGGACTAAGAATAAATAGAAAGAAAACTAAGATCATAACAAACTGTCCAAACCAACAATTAGTGACCATAAACAACCAAACACTTGAAAATGTAGAACATTTCACATATCTTGGTAGTGTGGTGTCCCTAGTGGAAGGGACAGAGGAAGACAAACAGTCATGCCTGAACAAAGCTAGAGCTGCTTTTGAAAGGGATGAGGCAAATCTAGAAATCCAACAGTTACTGCAGAGAAACCAAACTTCGACTCTACAAGAGCATCATTTTGCTAGTTCTTCTTTATGGAGCGGAATGCTGGGGAATGACCAAAAGGATGCACACTAGCTGTCCACCTTCCACCACACATGTCTACGTAGAATTATCAAAATTTTCTGACCAGATACAATCTCAAACACTAAACTTTAAGTCATAAAGCAAATAACTCTAGACAGTATGATGACCAAGAGAAGATGGAAATGGCTTGCCCATATTATGAGAATGAATCCTGATACGTCTGCCAAAACAGCTCTAACATGGATACTAGACGGGAAAAAAAAAAAGAGGCGCCCAAAAACAACATAGAGACGAATGATGGAGAGTGACCTGAATACGACATCTCTGACATGGAAAAACTGCACAAGACAGGAGAGCATGGAAAGTCCTCTCTGAAGCCTCCTGTGCCACTAGGCATTAAGAGAAATGATGATGTAGAATAAACACATACAGCAAAACCAAGAAATAAGAGAACACATGCTGCTTAACATACAAATAAAAATATAAACTAATTTGCAACCACAGTAATGATAATCAGCAGGAAATCACAACCGAAAGCTGAACAAATCAGAAAAGAAATAAACGTTAAAGGCATGTTTACTAGCACAATATCAACAACTTTTTAATGATAAAAAAAAAAAATTAGATACAAATTTCAATGTGCATATTTAGTATTAACTATTTAAAATAAGTATTTATCAAAAAATTTTAAAACATAGTAAGTAAGAGATACTTACCGGACCTAAAATTGTCGCTTGCCACTGAAATACTGTAAAAAAGAAAGGAGTCAGCATCAAAACACTAAACACAATGACATGTGGTGAAATATACTTATTCATAATTAAAACAACATTTTAAAAAAATGTTTAAGCAAAACAGACTTAAAATTCAATATACAAACTAAGGTCTTTAGTTGACTGTGTCTAGGAATTTGGTAGCATACAGTTTGTTAGCTATATCTATCTCCTGAAAGGTTTTAAGCCTGAAGCATTAATGCTGAGGTCATGTAAGCCATGACCAAGAAGTCACTCTAGAATGATAATGTTACACAGCCATCTTTCCCTTTCCAAACTCAAGAGACCATAGGGCTGAATTTTCAGCATCGATGAACACCAACCATTTCTCTGTCACTGCTAAATCTTCTTCTTCACGTTCACCAGCTGCAAACTCCAAAGGAAAGTTCTGGTTGTTGGTCCACTTTTGGACTGCAGTCCTGTTCCAGAACCTTAGTGTTGTGTGTACATCTGTTTTACAGATCTGACTCATTTGTATGCAGACTGCTGGTTCCTTGCCTCTCCGGCAGATGCATTCCAACTTTGAAGGAAGCTCCCATTTAGTTGGCTCTTATGACATGCTTTTGGGTAGGCAGTGGGTCTATTCTTGTTTTCCCTATAATAGGGCACCAGAACCCACACGAGGAACTGCTAAATGTATGCTAGCCTTTATGCTAAGTCCAAACAATTGAATGGCCATCCAGTGTGTACTACAACTTCTTCTTCTTCTTAGTTCTCACCAGCTGTAAACTCCGGCAGAAAGTTATGGCTGTGCATCCCCTTCTGGACTTTGGCTTTATTCTAGGCCCAGTGTTGCATGCACATCTGTTTTACAGGTCGGGCTTATGTGTATGAAGACTGTTGGTTCTATCTACACTGGCAGGCCCCAGTAGGGAATCCATTTCGAGGATGAGTGTGGAGAGGTGTAGACAGGGCTTGACCAGTATTAGCCCTGATCCTAGGGCACCATTACATGTAGTTCAGCACTTCTGCATCAATATCAGTTTGTGCAACATGGACAAAAATGACAGAATTTTTGTGCAAGGTTTCTTAAAATCAGCAAGAATACCCACAAAGCTCTATTTGGTTGTTTTCTTATAATTTGTGTTCACCGGCAGTAAACTCTGGCAGAAAGTTCTGGTTGTTCATCCACCTCTGGACTTAAGACTTGCCCCAGAACCTGAATGTTGCGTGCACATTCATTTTTATAGATCTGAATTTTTATGCAGACAGTTAGTTCAGATGCACTTCGACTTTGAAACCCCCCCCCCCCCCCCCTTAATTAGTCGACTCTTACAACACACTTGTTAGGGAGGCAGTGGGTATATTCTTGTTTTTCCCACAATGGGGCTCCAGAACCCACATACAGACCTTGTTTATATGTTTCTGGATTTTCCCCAGGAATAATTGTTTCTTCGTTAGGTTTTAAACAGGATAGCGAGGGGCCTTGTTTTTGAATTTCACTAGTACATAAATAGAGTAACTACGGGGTGACTCATCTACAATGAAAGTGTTTGTTGTTGCTGTTTGCATTCACCGGCTGTAAACCCCAGCAGCAAGACCTGGTTGTTCGTCCATTTCTGGACTCTGGCTTTGTTGCAAGACCTGAGTTTTGCATGTGCATCTGTTTAACAGATCTTGCTTATTTGTATGCAGACTGTTGGTTCCTTGCTCTCAGGCAGATGCACTCTGACTCTGAAGGAAGCTCCCAATTAGTCGATTCCTATGACATACTTGTTGGGGAGGCAGTGGGTCTATTCTTGTTTTTCCCACAATGGGACCTCGAAACCTACAATGGCACATGTGACAGCAACTGCTGCATTACTCAAAGTTGAGAATGTGATGTAAGTTTTCTTCCTTCCTCCAAATGTCTGATTTTATATCCAATACGCAACATAATGTAATATACCATATTTTTTCTTCAGAACATAGAAATTCAACACATGCACATTAACAATTCACACAATCTGTTTATACTCACTGTCGTCACCCACAGGTCCAGCTGAGCAGTTACACGGTGGGTCTCTGCCAAGATCTAACAACTCCTATTGTGACAAATGGGGTAGAATATAAGATAGCAATCAGTTGTATTTTCCATTTTTCAGCATAATTTGTTTCTCTCTCTCTTTTAAAACACCCCACCACCTTCACCATGTGGAAAGGCCTGTGTGCCTAATTCTTAACCCTATAAAAATGAAGTATGTTCATTCTCTCTCACGTAGACAGATGAAAAAGATTTCAGTTTAACTTAACACAAAAAAAATGCTGATAGTTATGGTGCTAAATATATTGTTCAAATGCATTTCCGAGGCTTTCAAAATGTACGGATGTTTATATACTTATTTACTCGATTTACACAATTTATCATAAATTTTAAATCGATACGGCACAATACTGATTTGCTGTTATCATCATCAAGTCCTTTACAGCGAACAGATCTCTAAACGGCAAGCTTGAAAGTCTGTTTCTCTCTAGCCCTATTTGCTTTCATAACCAATGCATCTTTAACATTGTGTATCCTACTTTGCGAAAATCTGCCTCTGCCTCATTTTATGGAGACTGTACCCTCCATTACCATTCTCTCCAAGCCATCATGATGTTTAACAAGGTCAAAAGGACAGGATGCGGCTTTACTTCAAATAACAGTCCCAAAATATATACTAACAGGGCCTCAGTCACATGTAAACTGCGGACTTCCGGCGACAACTGCCACTGCCGAGAGTTTATCTCCTACGCCGCTACGTGCAGCGGAGCTAAACTAGATGACTGAGACTCACAAGCAGCAGCTACCTTTATTTTATTTGCTCGTGAGTCCCAGCCATCTAGTTTAGCCCCACCCTTCGCCGCTTCGGCGGTGGTCGCCGGATGTCCGCAATTTACATATGACTGAGGCCCTGTTAGGGTTTATTTTTAGCCTCGATAATCTGGGACCGTTATTCGGATAGCCCGGGATGCTGTTTATCACCCAGTTTTAAATGATGTTCAGATCTAGCAAAATTTCAGTGTGTTTCTTCTTCTTGGACCATATTGTATTCTAAGAATGTGTTCTAGCTGGCGGAAATAATGCCTTATTTCGAATAAAACTGCTATCAACTGTATAAGTATAAAGAAACTGACCATATAAATATTATTATAAACAAATACAAACGTAAATGTTACAGCTGACCTTTGCAAAGTTACAGCTGCCCTTTGGGGGACAGGAATCCTGTTTCTATTTTGTATGCTCTTTTAACCATATAAAAAAGTCAGAAAAAAGTTATAAGCCTCTAAGTAACCAATCACTAGATATAGACAGAAAGTACAGTCATGAGTTTCATTATAAATAAAATATATATTATTCTACTTCTACCATCAGTCTGAAACCATTACATTTCTTCTATTATCCAGTAAATTATACATGTGAATATAATTTTAATTTAGCTAGATTACATTCAAGTTTATCTCCCGACATGACAAAACAAACTAATTCTATAATGTTAGCAAAAATTCTGGGCCTACTTTCGATATATTCAGATGCGAATTTCCGGTTGTGGCATTCATTATTAATTCCTAACAAATTAAAATGAACAAACTACATCTATACAATGCCAATCATAATATATTCATCATATTTACCTTTTGAATTCGCTTAACTGCCATTGTGAATCGGGTATTAGGGACGATGCTGCCAGTTATTACGATCAACTCACAAGTTGTCTGTTAACAGTTGTTCCTAACTTCGTCTTGCCCCTCTATGTCTATCTGTGATCTCTCTCCACTTGCTTGCTTGTGGACGACTGTTCTACTTTCCCCAAATCGATACCTGAAAAAACGTATATATAATTAATATTCATAAACCTCTTCAATATAACACAACTAACAGACTCACACGGATATAACAGTATATTTACTATAGTTTCGTTACCCGAAAAATGCCTACAATTTAACGATTAGACGATATTTTGGGGGAAATTGCTGCCGTCGTGGAACGAGACATATTGCAATTACAGGACGGTATATTTTGACACCGTCACACGCATGCGTGGTTGAAACAGTTCCGGTTGGTATTCTTGGTACAGGGAATTCCAATGCTTCTTCATTGCTTTTCTTTTCTTTCTTTTGTCAAAATCTGCTTGTGCCGCTAGGCGTCGCAGTCTATCAGATGATCGGCAACCGAGCCAGGGCGCGCTCAGTCGCTTCATATGCCGTGATGTTATGTATGCACGTGAAACAAATATAGCCTGTGATTTAACTCTTTTTTAATGTTGGTTGTTGGGGCCCCATTTTGGGAGAAAACAAAAATATGGACACACTAACCCCTTACAAGCATATAGTATATGGGGCTGAGCTCCCCTCCCCAATGTTTTCTTAATTATTTGTAGGTGAACGCCCCTCCCCTGAAATTGTTATCTGTCAGTAGAGTTCAAGAAGCCAACGGTGCCTTCTCAATGACTACCAGCAGCATGACGATGGGGGTGATGGCGGTGACACAAGCTTTCATGTGGCTAGAATCACAGGACTATTCCCGTGTGTGTGTGCTGTTTTTAGCATGATCCGGCGGGTCGAGGCAGGCTGGTCACGCAGACAGTGGTTTGAGTCATTGCAAAACTTTTTGTGACAGCAGTTACTTTCATATTCGTCCCAGGGCATGCAGGCGTTGTCGGTAACGAAATAGCTGCTCGACTAGCAGGTGTTGCATTAACTGAATGATGGCCGGCCCATGGATCACGTAAACATTTTCATTGCCCTTAGAGAGAGAGAGAGAGAGAGAGAGAGAGAGAGAGAGAGAGTGAGTGAGAGGACGTTTTGAGGATTTTGGCAGCAACGTGTCCACATTACTACTAAGAACTGGGAGTAAAGATCGGCACAGCCAAGCATGAAAAGCACACCGGACGCACATGAAATCTTGTTAACCAACATAGGACTGGCACTATAAACGCACGACGCTGATGAATATGTTGAGAGGGGAATCTGAGCGCCTATAAGACGTGTCCGGAGTGCTGTGAAGATCATCTAACTCATAACTCATCTAAATATATGTAAAGCAGGAGATGGGGAAGGTGGGGAGGCAATGGGCTGACCATAAACAGAGGAAATTCACAGGTCACGGGACAGTTCGAATACTTCAAGGGGTGGTAGATTAAGCGTATAGTTTTGGTTGGGATTATGGTTAGGTAAACGTACGAAAACCTTGACCTTGAAAAAAGGCGTTAAATCACACAAAAACCACAGAAAAGCGGCTTTTTACCATTCTCTAAAATATTGGACTGTCACGTGACGTCATGTGTGGTCGGTTAAAAAGAAAGCACCAGGCAATGTTAACTTCATGATGGCACGCCTGCACTTAATACATTCAGAGCCTCTGCCACCCCCCCCCCCCACCCCCGTCGAGCCGAATTAGTCTTTCAAGGCATGGTTACTCTGTTCTGTTGCACTTTCCACTTGATCCCAAAATGCATTCATTCCGTTCGCTTTATACTAGAGTAGCTCAGACCCATAGGAGCGACAGTAGCCAATCTATCATTACTCCGTACACCCGACAAAGAGTGGTCTTCATAATGGGAAGTATCAGTAATAGACTATTATTTTAATTGTAATTTTTTTAAACATCAAAATAGAAGGTTAACAAATCATGACAGTTTACTGACACAAGATTAAAACTACAAACTCATTTTTCTTGCGTTTACTGACATAAACTGGTCCATTATATGCTCAAAGTCAGTTTTCTCACTTTCTTCTCTTTCTACGCCAAGAAGAGCAAGATCACAGAGTCTGTCTTGTCCCATAGATGCCTGTAAGTAATCAAGAATGAGTTTCATTTTACTGGAAGCTTTATCGCAGCTGGAAATGTTAACATCATTGATAGCATCACCTCTGTCCTGTACTGGACCAGCCATGGCAACAGCAGTGTCAGCAACATAGTCAGCACGCTCGTTACCTTGAACACCTGCATGACCTGTCACAAAGATGAAGTTAGCGCAGCTATTCGTGTTGCAATCAATTCTTGCCTGATTAATCCAGCTTGACTTTTTAAAGTATATTCATCGAGTTACTAAGAATTAGGGCTGTACCGAATATTCGCTTCGTATTCGCTTAGGGGCCGAATAGTGGACCTAATAACTATTCGGTATTCGGCCGAATAGTTGCGGTCAGGCCAAATACGAATAGTGAATACCTTACACCCGTTTCTGGGCTAGTGGGAAATAAACATATTAGGATATCGCACCTTGGTTCATACTGTCAAGCATTACTTTGTGCACCACACACGAGCGTACCAAGTGAACAACGTCTGTTTAGCACTGCTGGAAATACCCCCAGTGAGACAAGAAGCTGCCTTAATTCTGCCAACATGGAACGATTGTGTGTGTGTGTGTTGTTTTATTTTAAGCTAATGCTTTCTTGCTTGCTACATACATCCAGTTTTAACATATGGCTGTTCCCTCGAAGTCGGAGTACATCTGCCGGTGAGGCAGGGAACGAGGACTGCAAGCAAATAAGACAGTAAAACGGATGTACACGCAAAACTCAGGTCGAGGTAAAAGCCAAAAGTCCATTTGGACGAAAAACCGCGACTTACCGCCGGAATTCACAGCCGGTGAACAAGAAGAAGAACATATGGCTGTGAGTCCTGGACAATCAGTCGGCAGGCCAAACAATTTCTCTAGGCCTCATAGATGTGGTTTTACAGAACAAGTCTTAAAATACCTTGGACGGCAATAAAAAGGCAACCAAGAGGTTTCTAAAAGAGGCGGGAGCTCGAAGACAACTACTCACAGACATCAGAAGGAGACAGTCATCATTTTTTCGGCCATGTTATAAGATGAAGGAAAATGGAACATGTGGTGACCACTGGAAAGATCTATGAAATAAAGGATAGAGGAAGACAACGAGAGAAGATTCTTGACAGTCTTGTTGCATGGCATGGAGGTGTGTCAGCACACGAACTAATACATGCTGCAGGAGATCGCAGATTGTGGCAAGGCATAATCGCCCATGCCAGTCGGCAAGAGCACCTGATGATGATGATTCACTATTCGTATTCGTATTCGGCTGAATAGTTGGTCCAGCTATTCGTATTCGGCCGAATAGTGAAAATCACTATTCGGTACAGTCCTACTAAGAATGATTACGTGTGTGAACTTTTGAGTACCAAGCCATGTTATTGGCACTGAACAAGCCATTGAACACTATCAAGGCGAATGAGTATCTTCTTCCAAAATCCCAGCAATGTCAGAAAAACCAAACTCAGCATGGGATTAAACACTGTTTGTTTCATTGGTCTCATTTGTATTGGTTGTCATGTCCTGGGGGACGCTTGCGTTGAATATGGCGTATAATAGAGAAAATCACGATAACTTGAGTGTCTTTGTAATGGAACACACAGACTAATTCAGTACTGTCATCTCTTTGTGTGATGCGATTTTTCGTTATTTGAAGCGAACTGTGGACTATTATGAAAAGTATGGGGTTTCCAGCGCATTTAGTGTATTTAATTGAAAATCTTTATCATGGACAACAAGCAGCCATCCGAGCAGCTGGTGAAACATCTGATTGGTTCGAGGTGCAAAAGGGGGTGAGACAGGGGTGCATTCTCTCACCATACCTATTCAATATATACGCAGAAAATATAATGAGAAATGTCAAAAATGACCAGACTTGTGACAGTTATGAACCGCTCAAAATTGGTGGCAACCCTATTCCGGAACTCCGCTACGCAGATGACACAGTCATCCTTTCGAACAGCGTAAAGGGAATAAAAAAATTAATATTGTCTGTCCAAAAGCACAGTAAAGATCAAAATCTGTTCTTGAATTTAAAGAAAACGAAAATGATGTAAACAGATAAAACTGGCTGTCACCCAAAAATAACAATAAATGATAAAGAAATTGAAAATGTAATTAACTTTGAATATCTAGGCTCTATAATAAACAACAATGCAGACTTCAACAGAAATTAAAAGGAGGATGGCTATAGCAATGTAAAGATTGAACAGCCTTAAGAGCCTATGGTTAAGCACCAGAAAGGAGATAAAAATTAGAATTTTGAGAGCATGCATCTTCCCTGTGGCTACATACAGATGTGAGTCGTGGACTACCTCTCAGTCCGTAAAAGAGAATAGGGGCTTTTGATCTGAAATTCTATAGAGAGATTCTCAGAATATATTGGACAAAGAAGATGAGAAATGTTGACATCATAAAAGATCTGAACATCAAGAAAGATAGGCTAATAAACAGCATCCTTTCTCGAAAGCTGAAATATTTTGGTTAAATCAAGCGCTACGACGGATTAGAAAAAATTATAGCAGAAGGCATGGTACCAGGAAGAAGGGGCAGGGGCCGACCGGCACGAAGATGGGCACAGGATATAAATGACTCCTTGAGTATGAAAGTTCATGGGGTGGGAGAACTGGTGAGAGACCCAGTTTCTTTCAGGCAGACTGTGATGAGATCGACGTTCTGCAAAGGACCTCCTACATGATGATGATGACTCTGGCTCTTGCCAGGGGCCGCAATATAGCCCAGTCATAAATATGGTCTAATGGCTGAACGTGGTTTCTGGGACCTCTCCACGGGTGATCCTCATCCACATGGTGGCTCTTTTTGTCATCATGTGTTTATTGCTTGTGTGATGTCCGGGTGGGGTAATAGAAGATAGAAAGA